AATGTTCTTTATTATCCATAAATGAGTGAGATCATGTGGTATTTTTCTTTCACTGCCTGGCTTACATCTCTTAGCATAATGCTCTCCAGTTCCATCCATGCTGCTGCAAATGGTAAAAATTCCTTCTTTTTTATAGCAGCATAGTATTCCATTGTGTAGATGTACTAGTTTTCTAATCCACTCATCTGCTGATGGGCATTTAGGCTGTTTCCAAATCTTAGCTATTGTAAATTGTGCTGCTATGAACATTGGGGTGCATATATCCTTTCTGATTGGTGTTTCTGTTTTCTTGGGATATATTCCTAGAAGTGGTATTACTGGGTCTGCTGCTGCTTTTAACACATTGTCAGTATATTACATTTTACTCAGCTACTTAACAAATACAATGCAAATGAAGTCAATTCAAATTTTTTTAAGGTTTCTATTGCTCCTCAGTCGCTAGAATGTTGCCTGACACAAGCTAATAAAACTTAAAATTATATCAGTTAAAAAAGAACTATAGTGAAAAGCTTGTTCTCAAATCTGCGGATTATTCATTTCTACCTTATATCATTTAACTTAAACAAAGGAAATAAGAACAAAGCAAAACTAGAAGCTGCCAACCTAGACTGAATTCCAATGCATATGAATAAAGTTCAGAGAGGATGTCTGCAGATAAATGGCTGATAGCACATGCAATATGAAATGCAGAGTCACTTCATGTCATTCTCCGATGCATGAACAATCCTCACGCTAGTGCGAATGGAAGCTGTCATCTGGTACCGGAGGGAGTCACCACTTTCCTGAAGGAACTGTTGTGGCCCAGGAACCATCCAGTCAACCCTCTAGGATTCTCTCCAGTCTCTTTCACAACTGCCTGCCATGCAATAAAAATCTCTCCTCTCCTTTGAAGCCAATTCCAAGGTGCATCTTTAATTAACCTTCCCTGACCACTCAGTTGAAACTGATCTCTTATTCCATCTACAGTGAATGCGCTTTTTGTGGGGAAGGGGGAGGTGGGGAAGCAAGCCATCCCCTTCTTACTATGAAAACAGAGGCCATATTCCAATGGTCCCCGCTGTCCCTGTTAGAAGCCAACTTGCCTCCAGCCAAGAAGTTGCCCATCGGTGAGAACTCCCCTGGCCTCCCTCGCAATTCAGGGTCAGCGCTTGGGGGTAACGAGGTGGGCGGCGAGGAGAGGCTCAGAGGGGTGGTTCTACTCAGGGTGGGGGAAGAGGAAGGTACTTCCTGGCACCTGCATGTGGAATCTGAACCGCAACCTCCCAGAAGCACTGTGATAATGTGTAGACAAGTTTGCATTACTGCTAATATGCATTATGAAATATGCTTTTGTAGACTGACCTCTTACTCATGTCTCTTATGCTAAAAATGTGTTCCATGTTCTAATCCATGATCTAGCTGTGAATGTTGTAGAAATCAACCAATTACTTTGTTGACATGGAATTACAGGGACTTAGTTTTTAATCCCTTGCAAGCTACTTATCTAGAAGCCTCAGGTTCATGGTTATAAAAGGAGAGTAGTAATTCCTATCTCATAGGACTGAAAAAACTTTAAAGAGATCGTGTATTCAGCCTAGTGTAGTCCAAGAAAAATAAATAGACAACTGTTTGCTTACGTGGAGACGATTTTAACACAGTTAATATCATACTCACTTTAATTTTTCAAAATTCTCAGGTTCTAAACTCCATATCTCTTCTACCTGGGCTCCTCGGCAACCTGAAATAAGAAATTATTTCTTTAGAAAACAAAGTATGGACTCATTTTTCTCCAGCATTAAATATTAACTAAAAGGTGTGCACATTTGGGATGATAAGACATGAGAAATTAAAATGGTAAAATTGACCAAGTTCACAGCCAAACCCTGGTCCAGCGGTTCTCAACCTGTGGGTCGCGACCATCGGAAAACACATATAGCATATCAGATATTTACATTACGATTCATAACAGTAGCAAAATTACGTTATGAAGTAGCAACACATATAGCATATCAGATATTTACATTACGATTCATAACAGTAGCAAAATTACGTTATGAAGTAGCAACGAAAATAATTTTATGGTTGGGGGTCACCAACCATAGAAGGGTCGCGGCATTAGGAAGGTTGAGAACCACTGCTCCATCCTGTACCATTTTCTAATCACCTGCAGTGGGAGTGTTTGCCTTTATGACTTAGAAGATTCCGGAGTGTGCCTCCACTGACACGTCTGTGCCTTCTCCACGCCTTCTGCATCCACTTTTTTCCCTGTCGCTAAGCTCTCCCAGCTCTGCCCTTGGCCCTCTTTTTTTCTTACTGTACATTTTTTAAGTGCTAAGAAATAACTGCCACTAACAGCGACTTCTCCTAAATTTTTATTCTATTCTCTTTTCAACTACCTCAGAGTATTTGATAGAATTTACCAGTGAAACCATTTTGGCTGGAGTTGTCTCTGTGAAAAGATTTTAAATTACAATTTCAATTTCTTTAATAAATAAAAGGTTAAAGGGTTACCTATTTTTTTTGATTGAGCTTTGGTAATTTGTGTCTTTAAGGGAATGTGTATATTTCACTTAAGTTGTCAAATTTACTGGTATACAGATGCTTACAATATCCCCTTATTATCCTTTTAATGTCTGTAGATTCTGTGGTGATATCATCTATCTTCTTGCTGGTATTGGTCATTTGTGTGTCCTTTCCTCTTCTGATCAGTCTGGTTAGAAGTTTATCCATTTTATTGATCTTTGAGAAACCGGCTTTTGGTTTCATTTATTTTTCTTGATTTTTGTTTTATTTTTTAATTTATTGGGATGACATTGGTTAATATGATCATATAGGAGGTTTCAGGTGTGGGTTTCTTTTTATTGATTTCAGAGGAAGGAAGAGGGAGAGGGGGAGGGAGAGGGAGAGGGGGGAGAGAGAGAGAGAAACATCAATGATGAGAGAGAATCATTGATTGGCTGCCTCCTGCGCGCCCCACACTGGGGGATCAAGCCCACAATCCACGCATGTGCCCTTGACTGGAATCGAACCCAGGACCCTTCAGTCCACAGGCTGACGCTCTATCCACTGAGTCAACCCAGCTAGGGCTCAGGTGTGGGTTTCTATGTTACAAGATCCGTATATTGCATGGTGCGCCCACCACCCAAAGCCAAAATTAATGGCTGTACCTCCTCCTCTCTAACCCATACTTCACATCACGCCAATCATCTCAGGCTCTGCCCATTTTAAGAGACCTCTGGTTTCTCTCACTTCACTCCAATCTACTCTGCACACTACACATGGTACACCTTTCTCAGGCCTAACAAACGTCATTTCAGCATTCAAATACCTTTGACAGTGAAGTCCCCAGCGACTGCAGGGCAACACAAACTATACAACAGAGCATACAATCTGGCCTCGGTTGATCTTTTCAGCTTCAGACGCAAATAAATACTCCTCCAGTCTGTTAGGTTATGTGTTAGTCACTTTGCTAGCTGTTCCCTAAGCCACACGTGTGGCTTGAACATCAGTGCTATTTACATTATTCCTTCTGCCTGTGTTCCTGTAACATTGGTTCACAGCACTCAGCGGCACTGCACCATGGTTTATTCACATTAAAAACCCTCACCCGCACCCCGCGTGGCTCAGGGGTCCGCCTGTGAACCAGGGGGTCGTGGTTGGATTCCTGGTTGGGGCACATGCCCGGGTTGGGGCCGGATCCCCAGTAGGAGGCGTGCAAGAGGCGGCCGATCCGTGCTTCTCTCATTGACGTTTCAGTCTCTTTCCCCCTCCCTCTCTGAAGTTAACAAAACATATTTAAAGGGGAAAAAAAAATCCCCCAGAGCCTACCAGGGTACCTGACACAGCGTAGGTCCACAATATGCGCTTGGTAAGTGATATTCCAAATATCCAGCTAGGCACAGTAGACAGTATCTGTGCCGAAGTTTAATTTTTACCCCGAGTACAAGTTCTAACCTAACAGCTAGAATTAGTAACATTCCAGGAAATGTAACAGATAAAACTAAACGCACTGCCCCACCAAAAAAAAAAAAAGGAGGCTAGGAACAGGGGCAGGAACAGGGATGAGCAGTGCAGTGCGCTGGATGTTCCGGGTGGAGGACGGGGCACCGGGCCAGGAAGACACTGCCGGGCGAGCATGTGGCCTCCGGTCCGGGGCGCGAGCTCGGGGCACACGCCTCGCCGGAAGCCAGAGGCCGGCGGGGAGCAGACCGGGCGGCGCGGCCCGCCGGTCCCACGCGGGCGCACACTCCGGTGTCCTGCTCGGAATCACCAAAACCTCGGGTTCCGGGGCGGCTGGGGCCTCGGGCACCCCGCCCTCCAGCAGGCACACCCCGGCTGCCCCTGCGGGACGGGCGGCCTGCGACACGCACCTGAGCGCACCTGCCGGGACGGGACGGGGGGGCGCGCGGCCGGGGCGAGGGCAAGGCTGGTGCTCAGGGAGCAGGGGAGCTGCGGGGACTCATTGCAATGAAACAGGTAACGGGGCGCCGGATCCTGCGGCGGGGCGGGCACGCGGGGTCCCTGCCCGCGTGGTGTGACTCTCAGGATCTCTGCAGAAACGCGACGCCGGGCTGGGAAGGGGCGGAGCCCTGAGTGTCCCCTCCCCGATTCCCTCCAGGTGCCCGGGAGTCGCGGTTGCTCTCGCAGGAAACCCGCTGCGCCCGACTCGGCCTCCCACATGACCCCCGGCCCAGGACGGTGCCCCTGGCTCTCACCGAATCCTTTAATGAGCTCGGTGAAGACGCCGGGGTCGCTCTCCATGAGGCACCACTCCCCGGCATTGCTCGTCATGGCCCCGGCCACACGCCGCCCCGCTCCACCTCGGACGCTGGCCGCCACCGGCACCCGCTGCCGCCGGCCACTGATCCCTGCGAACCCGCCGCAGAGCTCGTCCGCCCCACGTCACCCCGCCTACTTCCCGACAGCCTCCGGGGCCGACCCAGCAGCGCGTTAGAGCGCGCGAGGACGCTCTAGCCACCCGGGAGCCAGCGACTCTCTCCTCCGGGCCGCGCAGGACCCGGAACGGAACCGGAAGAGGCGGGGCCCCAGCGCGCCGGAGGAGGCCACATCCGGGATTCTCGCCAATCCGGAGCGAGGGCGGGCAGACGACAGGGCGGGGCCACTCCCGGGAGCCGGACCTGGAGGCCCGGCGGCGGCGTGCGGTCCGAGCAGGCGTTGACCATTAGGCCGCCTCGTCTTTTCGTTTCCCCGTGCGGCGCAGGGCTCGCCCAGTGGCGCTGCGGACGGAGGGCCGGCCGCCGAGCACAGGTGAGGAAACGGCGGGAGGCCGGCGGGGGCCCTTTGTGCGGTCCGGGCGGCCCCGAGGGCGCGCGGGCTCCGGATGGACCTTCAGGAGCCTCACTCCGCATCTCCGCGGCCGAGTCCGAGCCGACGCGTCGCCGTCCCCGGGGCCCGCCCAGGCCGCCGAGCGGACCCGGCACCGCGGCGGGACGTTCTGGCTCGGCCGGGCCCAAGCCCCCGGGCGAACAATGGGGTGCTCGCGCAGGTCGGCGACCGCAGGGCCCACCTTCATCCTCCGACTCCTACCCCCCCCCACCCCCTCTTCTCGCTCCTCCCGCGGCCTCTGCCCAGAGGCGGTGCCGGGATCTGGGTTCGGGAAGAAAGATCTTCGTGGGGAGGAAGCTGTGCCCTGCAGTCGGGGGTGGGAGGGGGGGTGGGGATGATGGACTAGTGGTTCTCAACCTTCCTAATGCCGCGACCATTTAGTACAGTTCCTCATGTTGTGGTGACCCCCAACCATAAAATTATCTTCCTTGCTACTTCATAACTGTAATGTTGCTACTGTTATGAATCGGAATGTAAATATCTGATATGCAGGATGTATTTTCATTGTTACAAATTGAACATAATTACAGCATAGTGATTAATCACAAAAGCAATATGTAATTATATATTCAATATGTGTTTTCCGATGGTCTTAGGCGACCCCCAGGTTGAGAACCGCTGGAGGAGACAGGGGGACGCCTCCGAGGAAGTGATCTCAAAGATTCCGTGATGAGTTAAGCCCCGCATGGCCTTCATTCGACAGGCTCTTGCAGAATGCTCGTGTTCAGACGAAAGTCTTGGGTCTATTTTATTTATGCACAGGGACTGTAGTCAGTGATACTGCAATAGCTACGTATGGTTTTAGGCGGCTGTAGAAATATCGGGGGACGCTTTGTAAAGTATATGGTTGTCTAACCACGTGCTGTGCACAATATTGAATGCCAGCTGAAATTAAAACATTTTTTTAAACGTATTTTTTAAGTATATTTGTGCATCATTCCTTAAACCTCTTGAATTCCAAGAAGGGCCTTTAGCTTCCAGGAAAAAAAAAAATGTTTTAGTGCCTAAGACTCTGGTTCTTTGCTAATCAAACAGGTGACCTGCGCCCTGGAGTTACATAGTGAGCGTTGCCCTATGTGAAGCCACAAAGTAAAACGATAAATTTTACCAGGACAACAGAATAGCTTTTATATTAAGATAAGATGGGTATAATGTGGAATAGAAGCGAAACTTTGTATCAACTGTTTGATTTTTTTTTTTAACTGGAACTTTCTTGAGGTTTGTCCCTGGGAGCCTCCCTCCAGCTGGGGCCTCAGTTCCCTTTGCCCAGTTCATTGTACTCAAATGGGAGGATGTGTAAGGCTCAGGGGTAGCCTTACAGCCTTAGCGGCCACACCTACGCAGTGTCACCAGGACCCAAAGGTGTTGGTCATTTGTCGTCTTTTTTAATCTGTAATATTACCGTGAACTTGAGAGTGTTTTCTGTGCTAAATAAATGAAATCAAAACTTACAGGTATTTGAAACCTAACCTCATTCACATGGTGTCTCTTGAAGAAAGACCAGGCCGAAAATTTAGCTCTTGATACAACCTGCAAATAATCTGAAAAGGGGGTTAGGATTTCTTTACTTTCGTTGTTAAAATTTAATCCTAAGAGTTCGTTTTAAAAATCCAGGTTTCTAGGCCTTTGAGAAAAATTAAAGGATCTGGCAATACTAAGCCCGAACCACAGGCTGAAGGTGCGAGCCTTCAGGGCGGATGCTTGACTCTATGCACTCCTGCCCATTCCCAGTCTGGATGATACAGTCCTTTGAATGTGTGGCCCTAGTTCTTGCAGTATTGGGTTTTTATGAGCTGTCTTGCACACTTTTCTTTCATAAGTGTAAGTAAGCTCTTATAAAAGAATGAGTTTGATCTCTGGGGTGAAAGGTAGCATTTTCAAATAACAAATGATTAAGAGACATAAGAAAGAATTCAAGTGTGAACCTTTACTATGTAAGAATCTGTAGGAGTAATACATTATTAGTACTGTTAAAAGATGCTATAACTTCTAATGAGTACGAAGCAGAAAGAAGTGCTGTTACATACTGTGTGTTACTAGCATCCACTGACGGCATTCAAAGTTAAGCAACTAAGAAAGAGAAGTAGGCAGTGTCTAAAATATCCACAACCAATTTCAAGTTGTGGCCATGCTATTAATATTGTTTCAATCTGCTTAATTTCTTCCAAAAAGTTTAACTTCTAGAAGTTTAATACACCTGTAGCTGTATAAATCCTTTGAAGTGGTGTGCTTTAAGAGCACTGGATAAATCAGGCTAACCCACTAAAGAATTAACTTTTTTATTATTATTAATCTGGATTTACAACACTTGAGTATTCAGGGGTTGGGATAGGTGAGGAACAGATATGGGTTATTTAACCAACAACGTCTGCCGAGTTATTCAGGGAATAAAGGTCCTAAGATCTTTCTTAGCCGTCAGCTACTGTAACTGCCCTCGCTATCCCTTTGATTCTCCATCTGGGACTCCAGAGGCCCTGCTGAGCTGCCTGCTGAGTCTCTGAAGCAACAAATTATAACTCAGAAATGTGACTTCTTAGTTGTTACTTCTGGTTATCATAGTACCACTTACTGAGCTTAAGTATTTTTATGCCCAGCTGATGTGGCTCAGTGGCTGAGTGTCGACCTACGAACCAGGAAGTCACAGTCAGGGTTCAATTCCCAGTAAAGGCACATGCCTGGGTTGCGGAGCTCGATCCCTGGTAGGGCGTACAGGAGGCAGCCAATCAATGATTCTTTCAGCATTGATGTTTCTATCTCCCTCTCCCTTCCTCTCTAAAATCAATAAGAAATATATTTTTAAAAATATTTTTATATCAAAAGACTTCATGGCAGATTTCAATAAGCATAGATTAATAAGTGTTTCCCTTTTTATAATTTTACTGTGTCAATCTAGCAAGTAACATTTTGCTTTTTTGTTAGGTTTCCTAAAAGACAGAAAAATGGAGGGACTCAGTGAACCAACTGCAACCCCTAAATGAGAGCAGATAGCCAATTCTGAAGATGGATATGTATGGCAAAGTCACTGACTTGAATCGCCTCCACCGCTTTTTATGTTTTGGTTCTGAAGGTGGGACTTACTATATCAAAGAACAGAAGTTGGGCCTTGAAAATGCCGAAGCTTTAATTAGATTGATTGAAGATGGCAGAGGATGTGAAGTGATCCAGGAAATCAAGTCATTCAGTCAAGAAGGCAGAACCGCCAAGCAGGAGCCCATGCTCTTTGCACTGGCCATTTGTTCCCAGTGTTCCGACATAAGCACAAAGCAGGCGGCATTTAAAGCTGTTGCTGAAGTCTGTCGCATTCCCACACATCTCTTCACGTTTATCCAGTTTAAGAAAGATCTGAGGGAAAGCATGAAATGTGGCATGTGGGGCCGTGCCCTCCGGAAGGCTATAGCAGACTGGTACAATGGGAAAGGCGGTATGGCCCTCGCTCTGGCAGTTACAAAATACAAACAAAGAAATGGCTGGTCTCACAAAGATCTGTTGAGATTGTCACATCTTAAACCCTCCAGTGAAGGTAAGCATAGCATCTTTTGGGGGAGAAAGGGTGCAGATATTGAATAAATAACAAATTTATTTGACATAAGACAGTTGTGTAATTTCTAGGAATAGCCTTTCATTCTCAAAACATTAATTCGAATATGTTTAAGGCCAATCTGGAAACACCTACCACAGGCAATCCAGACATCAGTAATCAAGAACCAAATGACAGATCTCCATGTTAAAATGTCACCATGCTAACAAAAACTCATCCAAATGATGATGGACTATGAAAGCAGCCTGGATGTGTTAAAGTCGTTAGCAAAACGCTCCTAGCCAGTAGGTGGCAGATAGCCGGGCTCTGTAGCCCCTTCTCATTTTGCCACCTCCCTGCCTTCCTAGGACACATGTTCCATGGAACCTAAGGCCGCCTGAAGTAGTGCTCTGAACTTAACAATTCAGGATATTGTCTCCAAGCAGTCAGCCAGGGAACATGGTAACTTGGGCCAGTTTTCTATGTCTGTCAGAAGAGGTTTTTGAGAAGTTAGTTGGATCTACAATAAATGCTTAGTCTTTCTTAGAAGGAAATAAAAAATTTCGGTCAAGAATAAAGTGTGAACTTCCAGAAAAATCAACATGCCCAAAATTTTACTTTTTTTTTTTTTTTTTTAACACCAGAAGTGAAAGTTGAAAAGACGGCCACTCACATAGGTTCAGATTTCAGTTCTGCCCATTGCTTTGTGTCCTGGAGCCACGTAACGTAACCTTTCTGAGTTCCTGCATCTTCATCTATGAAAAAGGGAAGGGGGGAGTGACCCTCCTGGTGCCTAAATGTGATCGTGGATGTTCCTGATGTGTACCAACATCATATAAAGCAGAAGACATCACACAAAAGTCCATGTCCTTGTTTCTTTTGAAAAATATATGTTTTTTGGCAGCACTAAGCAAATACTTAGCTAAAATATTTGTCAGGGCATATTCTTTAGTTCACCCCAGTCCTAACCACACTTTATTACATCACATGGCCTATTCATTTTACCCACCTTTTCCCCATAGACCTTAGAATTTGATAATTCCATTCCTTTCCCCACCTTTTTGCAGAACTGGAATGAGTGCTTAGAATAATCACACCATTTATTGGCAGAGCGTAGGTTACAACCCAAGTTTCCTCGCCCTCCCCAATCCAAAGCTCATTTCAACTATTAAAAGAAATTGTAGTAGGAAACACATTACTTTCCTTTTTTTAATATTTAGCCTATAATACTTTCTCAGCTATTAAAAAATTTTAAGTTACCTACCTGTCCACATCGACTTATCTCTACTATTCATACATGCATAATCATCAGCTAAAAGAGACAATTGAGTATGAAATTAAATGAAATAGATCAGTACTTTTCAGAGGTGTTCTGAGATTATGGACCTAAGTCTGGCCCTATCTACCAAAGTTTCTAATGCTGATGTCTCCAAAAATAAAACTCTAATGAAATGAAAATATAGGAGTTTTTTAAATATACATATATATTTTAAATTGATTTCAGAGAGGAATGGAGAGGGGGCAAGAGATAGAAACTTCAGTGATGAGAGAATCACTGATTGACTGCCTCCTGCACATCCCCCACTGGGGATTGAGCCCGAAACCGGGCATGTGCCCTGACCATGAATCAAACTGTGACCTCCTGGTTCATAGGTCAACCACTGAGCAACACCAGCCAGGCTAGGAGTTTTTCTTTCTCCAAAGTTTCCTATTGAAGCAGTGATCGAATAAGCAAAATTAACTAACTCTGTTTGATTAAATGTTTGTTATATCATGCATAATAGCATCACAGATGAAAGAAGTTCATTCCTGGGTATCTACTTAAGCCTTTCATATAATGCCTTTACATAAACATGTTCTGTCTTTTACCTACTAATCCTACCTGCCTTTTCAATTCTCTATTTTGTTAAAGGACTTGCTATTGTGACCAAATACATTACAAAGGGCTGGAAAGAGGTCCAGGAGTTGTATAAAGAAAAAGCACTTTCTGCGGAGACTGAAAAACTATTAAAGTATCTGGAGGCTGTGGAGAAGGTGAAGCGCACAAAAGATGAGCTGGAGGTCATTCATCTGATAGAAGAGCACAGGTTGGTTAGGGAACAACTTCTGACAAATCACTTGAAGTCTAGAGAGGTAAGTAAAGTGTACTATGTTACATCATGTGGTTAAACAGTGATGTATGGTATGTATGAAAAAGATAGCCCTAACCGGTTTGGATCAGTGGATAGAACGTCAGCCTGCGGACTGAAGGGTCCCAGGTTCGATTCCGGTCAAGGGCATGTACCTTGGTTGCGGGCACAACCCCAGGAGGGGGTGTGCAAGAGGCAGCTGATCGATGTTTCTCTCTCATCGATGTTTCAAACTCTCTATCCCTCTCCCTTCCTCTGTAAAAAAATCAATAAAATATATATTTAAAAAAAGAAAGAAAAAGATAAACTATGGGTACCTATATATTCTTTAAAGAAAAACACCTAACAGTGCCTACAGGTAGTTGCATTCAATAGTGTTCAAGAACAAGTTAGTTTATTTGCTAAAACTTTGACCATTTTGCACAAATTTTTACTTTGAAATTGATCTGAACCCCCAAAGAAAGTCTTAGAGAATATATTAATATTATTATTGGTACAGGTATGTTTTACTGATTCATCATTTTCTATGTTTCTGCCTGTTATTGCAATAGGTATGGAAGGCTTTGTTACAAGAAATGCCTCTAACTGCATTACTAAGAAATCTAGGAAAGATGACTGCTAACTCAGTGCTTGAACCAGGAAATTCAGAAGTATCTTTAGTATGTGAAAAATTGTGTAATGAGAAACTATTGAAAAAGGTAAGCATTCCCTGTATTAGCTTCTACTGATTGGAAAAGTTGCTCCTAAATTTTGGAAATGCCATCAGCATATGCTTTAGGTGTTCTGAGATTTATCATACCAAGTTGCATTTTGACTCTGAAAGCTAAGATTAATATGTCCTTATTTTTCTCTTTTCTTTATGAAATACATTCGCTCAGTAACAAATACCTAAGGCACATAATTGCTCTTTTCATTTGAAGTTTCACTTACTCTCTGTCTTCATCTTGTTTCCAGGCTCGTGTACATCCATTTCATGTTTTAATCGCATTGGAGACTTACAAAACGGGGCATGGGCTCAGAGGAAAACTGAAGTGGCGTCCCGACGAAGACATTTTGAAAGCTTTGGATGCCGCTTTTTACAAAACATTTAAGGTAATGTTTTGATTTTTGTTTTAAAACAAATGACACAGGTAGGACTTGGTGTCTTGTGTAAAAACACATTTTAAAGATATTAATTGTTTAAATATTTTGATTACTCATTTGTTCCTGTGAGAAGAATGCCCACTTTTCCATTTCAGTTCCACAAAGTACTGAAAATTCTAAAAGTTAGGCAAGAAAAAACAAAAGACATCCAAATTATAAATCAATAAAAATTATCTCTGTTCTCAGGTGACATGATCTTAAATGTAAAAAAGCCTTAAATAATGCATAAGAAACTACTAGAGCTAACAAACTCAGCAAAGTTGCAGGATACAAAACCCGTAGGCAAAAATCAGTAGTATCCAAAGGCTAAGAAAACGTCCATTTACAGTAGCATCGAAAAGAATAAAACACGTAGGGATAAATTTAACTATGGAGGTGTAAGACTTGTACACTGAATACTACAAAATATTGCTGAATGAAACAAGACATAAATGGTAAGACATTTTATGTTTATAGTTTGAAGGACTAAATATTAGTAAGCTGACAGTACTGCCCAAAGCAATCGACATATTCCATGCGATCCTTATGGCATGTTTTACAAAAATAGGAAAACCTGTTCTAAAATTTATGTGGTCTTTAAGGGGACCTCCAAATAGCACAACCAATCTTCTAAAAGAAGAACACAGTTTGAAGACTTATACTTGGAAACTACAGATTTCAAAATTTACTGCCAAGATGTAGTAATCACAACAGTGATACACATTAAGACAGTGATAAAGACCAGTGAAATAGAAAACAGAGCCAAGAAATAAACTTACATTATGGCCAATCGATTTTTTATTTTTTAAAATTAGTGTATTTAATACAGTTTACATACACTATATTAGTTTGAGGTGTACAACATAATTAGACATGTAATATACTTTAAAAAGTGCTCACTCTAAATCTAGTACCCTTCTGACACCATACATAATTATGACATTACTAGAGGCCCGGTGCACAAAAATTTGTGCACTTGGTGGGGGTTGGGGGGGAGGTCCCTCAGCCCGGCCTGTGCCCTCTCGCAGTCTGGGACCCCTCGGGGGATGACCACCTGCTGGCTTAGGCCTGCTCCCCAGCGGATTGGGCCTAAGATGGCAATCAGACATCCCTCTGGCAGCCCGGCAGCCCTTGGGGGATGTCCACTTGCCAGCAGGGAGCAGACCTAAGCTGCAGTCGGACATCCTTAGCGCTGCTGAGGAGGCAGGAGAGGCTCCCACCACCACCACTGTACTGGCAACCATCAGCCTGGCTTGTGGCTGAGCAGAGCTCCCCCATGTGGGAGCGCACTGACCACCAGAGGTCAGCTCCTGCATTGAGCGTCTGCCCCCTGGTGGTCAGTGTGTGTCATAGTGACCAGTCATTCCCAGTCTTTCTGCTATTAGGGTCAGTTTGCATATTACTCTTTTACTATATAGAATAGAGGCCTGGTGCACGGGTGGGGGCCGGCTGGTTTGCCTTGAAGGATGTCTCGGATCAGGGTGGGGGTCCGGCTTGGGTGCCTGGCCAGCCTGGGTGAGGGGCTGATGGCTGTTTGCAGCTGGTCACACCCCCTTCAGGGTGGGGGTCCCCACTGGGGTGCCTGGCCAGCCTGGATGAGGGGATGATGGCTGTTTTCAGGCTGTCCACACCCCCTTTAGGGTGGGGGTCCCCACTGGGGTGCCTGGCCAGTCTGGGTGAGGGGCTGAGGGCTGTTTTCAGACTGGTGGGTGACTGAAGCTCCCAGCCTCTCCTTTTTTCTTTTTCTTTTTTATTCTGGGATTTATTTACCTTCTATAATTGAAACTCTGTTGCCGTCACTGGCGCTCCCAGCTCTGAGGCCGCAGCTGGCTGAAAGCAGGTATCTGGGGTTTGTTTGGCTTCTATAATTGAAACTTTGTTGCTTTTGGAGCTGTTGCTTTCGGAGCTTAGAGCAGGCCGCGGCAGGCGGGGAACCTTGGCTTCCTCCATCACTGGAGCAAGCAAACCTCCTGCTTGCTTCAGCTGCGTGGCTGCCGGCTGCCATCTTTGTTGGTGGTTAATTTGCATATCTTGCTGATTAGCCAATGGGAAGCATAGCGGAGGTACGGTTAATTACCCTTTTTGTCTTTTATTAGATAGGATTACTGTATTCCTTATAGTGTAGTTTACATGGTCAATTGATTTTTGACAGAAGTATCAAAACAGTTCAATGGGGAATAGTATATAAATGGTGATGGGAAAACTTGATATCCACATGCAAAAGAATAAAATGGAACTGTTACTTTATACCATATAAAGAAATTAAAGTGGATCAGACCTATATTTAAGTGCTAAAACTATAAAATATAAACTTCTTTTAAAAAAAAACAGTAAATGCTTCATAATATTGGACTTGGTAATAGTTTCTTAGATATACCAAAAGCATGGGCAACAAAAGAAAAAGATAAATTGGACTTTCATCAAAATATAAATCTTTTGTGCATCAAAGGATACTAGCAAGAGAGTGAAAAGATAACCTACAGAATAGGAGAAAGTATTTGCAGATCATATATCTGATATTGTTTTGATGTTCAGAATATATATAAAACAAAGACAACTCAACAGTAAAAATACAAAGAACCCAATTCAAAAGTGGTCAGAGTACTCGAGTAGACATTTCTTCAGATATACAGACGGCCAATAAGCACATAAAAAGATGGTCGGCATCATGAGTCATTGGGGGAATGCAACTCAAAACCACAATGAGATACCACCTCACACTTGTTGGGTGGCTCGTATCAAAAGGCAGAAATAACAAGCAAGAATTGAAACTAGCCTATTGCTGGTACAGCCCTGTGGAAAAGCTTGGTGGTTCCTCTGAAAGTGAAATGTTGAATTGCCATACCATCCAGCCATTCTACCATTTACACATATACCCAAAAGAATTGAAAAGGGACTCAGATACTTGTACACGAGTATTCATAGGAGCATTATTCAGGTAAAAACAGCCCAAGTGTGCATCAACAGGTGAATGGATAAACAAAATATGGCCCTACTCAGCCTTACAAAGGGAATGGAAATAGAAACATGCTACATGGATGAACCTTGAAAACATGGTGCTAAGTGAAATAAACCAGACACAAAAGGTCAAGTGTTATATTATTTACCTTAAATGAGGTACTTAGTAGGTAAATTCATAGAGACAGAAAGTAAAATAGAAGTTGTCAGGGGCTAGAGGGAGGGAGTTATTTAGTAGGTACAGATTTTGTTTGAAATAATGAAAAAGTTTTGGAAATGGTGGTTACATAACATTGTGAATGATTTAAAATTTAATCTTAGAATTTCTATGATTAATTTTAATGATTATCTCATTTGTTTTCTCTCTATAGACAGTTGAGCCAACCGGAAAGCGTTTCTTGCTGGCTGTTGACGTCAGTGCTTCTATGAACCAGAGAGTTTTGGGTAGTGTCCTCAACGCCAGCACCGTTGCCGCTGCGATGTGCATGGTGAGAACACTGAGGCAGTTCACCGTGTCTGCCACCCTAAGAACATGTTTGCTGTGGGGAAGAACTGTAGACCTAAATAAATAGGCTCAAGGATTAAGTTTCCATTTCTTTTTGTCAATTTGACATATTTGACAGTTTTATTTCATACTAGTGGCCCGGTGCACGAAATTCGTGCACATTAAAAGGGGATTAATTAGAGGAGATATTTTAATACTGCTATTTGCCCTTTCTCTGTAATAGAAGTGTCAGAGATGAAAGAAAATTAGTAAAATGTATATGAAAATCTTCCTCCTGTCAGAGTCTGGGGCACGCCACAGGACCCAGAGTCAAGTCCCCGCCCACCCGCATGCACCTTGAAATCACGCGAGACCCAGACCCAGTTAGCCCCACCCCCATTGGGCGAGATCCAGACCTGGCTGGCCCCACCCCCGTCCAGCCCTGCTGGGCGGGGCACAGGCCTCAAGTCCCCTGGCCTGGCACCAGGCAGGGGGCGCAGCCTCAGGTTCCCCATCAAGCCCCGCTGGGTGGGAGGTGCAGTCTCAGGTCCCCCGGATATAATATGTTTGAGGAAGTAGACAATGTTTAGGAAACTATTAATATATATAGAAGTGCAAAGATCAGAAACTGGTTAACAGTAGTCAGGAGACTTCGGTTTCCACCTGCCTATCACTAGATAGCTGTTAAATGAATCGTGGACGAGCTTCTTAATTCCTCCTCTGTGGCTGTATTCCTATTTAATAAAATGAAAAGAATATATTCTATCTGCTTCAGAGGGTTGTTGTGAAAAGGAGTTTAAAATAGGCATCATAGTGTGTTTCCTTTAAAGGTGACGTTTTATGAACTTCAAGTATGTGTTTATTTCTCCCAAATCTCCTGAAAATTACTACCATTGAATTTTTCAGGTTGTCTCACGAACAGAAAAGGAGTCTCACATAGTTGCTTTTTCAGATGAGATGGTTCGATGTCCAGTAACTACAGATATGAGTTTACAACAGGTTTTAATGGCTATGAGTCAGGTAACAAACTATTTTATTAGTTTATACTGTATAATCATTGTTATTGCTGTCGTGTGTGATATTAATGCATTTGTGAGAACAAATTGTTTCATCTCCATTTTTTCATGAGCATGAAATAAATATATAGGCTTTGGGAAGGCCTATGTATTGGCTCAAAATACAACGATAATGTAAAAAATAGTACTTTTAAGTATTTCATTATTTCACTAGTGTCCCCGTGCATGGATTCGTAAACATTGAAGGGAAATTAATTAGAAGAAATATTTTAATATCATTACTTGCCCTTTCTCTGTAATAGAAGTGTCAACCAAATTCACAATCAACAATGACAGTTCAAAACTGTGTGTGTGTGATTGGCGCCAGCGAGAGCTTTATATGTATTATGCATGCGCGAGTCAGCTTAGCCTTTTATATATATAGAAGATTATGGAAGCTGTCTTTTATTCTTACTCATTTTTTGTTCTGAGTTAGATCCCAGCAGGTGGAACTGATTGCTCTCTTCCAATGATCTGGGCACAAAAGACAAATACAGCTGCTGATGTCTTCATTGTGTTCACGGATAACGAGACCTTTGCTGGGAAGTGTCCACCCTGCTGTCGCTCTGAGGCAGTATCGGAAGGTAACACAAATTCTGATACTTTCTCACCCCATAAAGTCTCAGTTCTCAAACATTCACTCTGCTTTTCCAAAAACAAGCTATGAATGTATACAACATCATTAATGGACTCAGCAGTACTTGAAAAGTATTGGCTACACCTATATAATATATTTCCACCAGTTCCAATTCTATACATTACTAAGAATATCCTTTATCAGTGGTATTTTTTAATATTTCAGTGTTCCTTGAAATATTAAGGTGTCATTTATGATTTTTGTTAAAGGACTACATAAAGTTAAAGCTATAGTCTATGGTTTAAGTTACATGGATATTTCTGGGTTCTAATCTGTGCTCTCCAATTGTGCTTTCTGAAATGAGTGAAATGTTCTATATCCACATGGTAGCTGCTAGTCACGTGGGCTGTTGAGCTCTTGAAGTGTAGCTAGTGTGACTGGCAGTAGAAATAAAACTCGATGAAGAGCAGTGGGTCTCAAAGCGTGGTTTCCCTACCAGCATTACCTAACACCATGTTACAAATGCAAATCCTGGGACCCCATGGGAGACCTGCTGAATCAGAAATTCTGTTGGGATTATGCTTTACAAGCCCTTAAGTTGGAGACCAACAAGTGAGAGAACAGAATTTGGAGTCAGGATAGCCCGGGTTCTGAGTCCTGGTCATTCTCTTACTGCCTGTGGACCTGAGCATATTATTGAACTCTGATACATGCTTACCTTTAGGGTTGTCACAATAAATACACTACGTAAGTTCCTTAAGAGCCCATTACAGTTTCTGACACTGAGTGATGGTTGGGATATCTCAGAAACTCAACTACTTTAACAAGCCATAGCTGTAGAGAACAAATTCTTCCATGTAAAAAGTATATATTATAATTAGCGAAGTTAATAATCCTGGTGAAATATCTCCTTGTATTAATTCCACCTCCACACACACTGTCCAGTGTTTAATATGTTGGTAAAAATAGCTTCACCCCCTGAATATCCTGACAGGTTTGATAAGTATAGAGTCCTCAGGTTGCTCAGGAAGGTGCTCTGTGACCCACAGAACAAGTAACGTAGAACAGAAAAGCAGGAATTTCAGACAGGTTGTTGACAAAATTTTATTGTCTAGTCTGAAAATCACAGTCGAGCCTTGAAAGTTTGACAGATTTTATGTAGAGAGGGTGAAAAAGAAAATCTATGATAGAATTTAAAGTGTTAATTTTGAAGGTTATTTGCTTTTGCTTTTATACAATTTTTTTAAATGTGTATTTTGATCTTTACCTACAGAAAATGAACATTCCAGCTAAGTTGATTGTTTGTGGAATGACATCAAATGGTTTCACCATTGCAGACCCAGAGGACAGAGGCATGTTGGATATGTGTGGCTTTGACACTGGAGCGCTGGACGTAATTCGCAATTTCACGTTGGATGTGATCTAACCATAAGCACCAGCACGATTAGTGATCTCGCTAAAAATACGCAGCTACTTCCCAGCTAATCCTAATCCAGTGAAAGATAAGATGATGGCATAGTATGAGTATAATGGAAAGTTTACCTAACCAAAAAAAGGAAAAATAAGATAAGCCCAAAGTTCGCCCTATCTATCAGCCTAGCTCCTGGGAAGTAGCTTCGGAATTCACTGTAGCTCCCTCTGATAGAGAGCTGGTAGACCCTGTAACATAGTCACACAGGTTTGCTTTGGTAAATAATCACATTTGTATTTAAACGAAGTAAGAGCCAAATTTGTAAGTAGTTCTATATCATGTCACTTGTTTGGAAAGTGCTTAAAGTTTTCTTAAATGTTTTCATTGGGAAAGGACAGCTTTGATAATGTCCATCGACTCTGAAATGCACTGGACCATTAACTGTGATGGCATATAAAGCTCATCTGTGAAACAGCAGCCATGACCAAGGGATAAATAATGAGTTTTACAGATTTCTCTAAGCGTTTTCTAAGGTCACGTAAATAGCTTTCTTATTCGGTAAAAAAGAGATTTTGTCTCATGTTTTATTTACACTTAGAGAATTATTACCATTAACCAGAAACACAACAGAAAGGCCACCCTGGGCTGAGGACGCTAACGCTTGTGTCGCCTGAGGAAGTCGGTGGGTGTTGTGTTCTGGTGCGTTTTATTGCTGTGAGTTGAGGGTGTGACTTGACAGTTTCCTCCGAGTTGTAACAACATAGCCGCACTTAGTCGCACTTTCTTTTTTTCATGCTCTTAAATGCAAACAACATCAAATGGTTCAAGCATTTAACTCCCCCACTCATAATCTGAAAATGACAAATCTCAACTATAATTGGATTCGCTTTTTCCTAACTGTAAAATCAATACTGTTCTAATTTTTAACTTTTTTAGCCAATTGTATATGAGTTCTAATTGTAAGCATGTCAGTGGCCTATTCTCTGTTCGTTATTCATTGTGACAAAACATTCTTTCTTGGTAGAGTAAAATTAAAATAATAAAGCAAGCTAGGTCTTTCAGGTTTGAAAGGCAATTTTTGAGTAGCATATTACCACTAACCAGTTTGTAAGAAAGTACTTTTTTCTATTTTATTGTGTATATTAAACTTCTTTTCATTACACTAAAGTGCATTATTTTCTTGAGCAAATAACCTCTTCTTTGTGGGGAGGTTTAACTTATTTAAATGCCAATAACTTTCCTTATAATTACATGGTTGTCTATGCTTACCCATAAAACTTCAATTTTTATGTATTTAAGTAGTAATAGAGGACTTATGGGGGATTTTTATAAACTCATCACTTATGTAAAAAGACAGACTAGTAAATGTTCATTGTAGCATTTCATGTGCTTGGGGTTTAGAGATTTTGTTCAGGGGTTATGGGACTTTATAGTAGAGTTAGAACTTGTGTTGATATTGTCCTTCTGTTTCAGGGGAGATTTGGGCTCTAGGAGTGACAAGAAAATGTTCCTGTCACATGTATTTGATGTATAATACTGGCTCTGATGTGTAGGCTTCAAGGCAACTTACAGCAATGTTGTGATTTACCTGAGATTTTTTTAGTCAGCAAAACTAGTAGCATCCTCACACCAAAAAAACCCACATTGCTTCTGATGTCATTTTGTCTTAATCCTCTGTCACACATTGGATTTAACATATTAGCTTTTATGTTCAGATTGAATTTGACGTTTAAAGAACCTAATAGAATTGTGTTCCATAATTTTTTAAGTACACCCAATCTTAATTTAAAAAATCATAAAATGATGTCACTTTTTATTCCTAATTGAAATGAAATGTAGCATAAAAGTGTATTCCTTTCCGTTACATACTATTCCTATAGTGTTTTTAGACAGATCTATTCATGAGCTGATATGAAATCCATCAGAGAAGTAAGATTAGAAATATCTTGTAAGTTGAATTAAATGGATTAGGGAACAATTTAAGAATGAATGAAAAGAAACAAAAACAGAAAGAACCACCACAGAAAGTAAGTTTATATTCAAATCCTGGAATTTTAGAGCTGGACCAAACCTTAGAAATGTAAAAAGATGATTTTTTTTTTTTTAATTTAGGTTAGGGAACGGGGGTTCAAGAAAGGGTGGCTTTGGAGCACTAGATCTAGAAATCTTCATTTCAGTATTCACATCCCCACAAAATAGGAAAACTGACAAGAACAGGGGTGAAAATAGAATTATTCAAGACTTTTATATTTTAGGTATTAGGAAATAATGTGTATACATGATTGCTGTAGAGTAGAAAACCAAATTATAAACATATACTTGTTCATAGTAATCCTCAAGCACAATGTTTTTAATAACCTATGTTGCTATATAATATACTCCTATAGGAAAATAAAAAACCTTTACCTCGTGATTAAAATGTATTCAAGTGATAAAGTTAATTAGTAAAACAAAAACTATTGCTAAAGTCCTATACTTCCTTATTAGTTGATATTTCTTGGAAATTCTATTAACTGTCATGTTATTTAGTTCAGTAACTTTTATAGGTATATTGTTGAAGATACTAGGGAATGGGATTCAGTGTTACCTCTCTGGAAGCTTTTACTGTGTGCTGTAGCGCCCAATTTAACCTATGTGATTCAGTTTTGCTATTTTTACAGAGTAACATCTGATGCTTAGATCATAGGAAAATCAATATATAAAAGTTTAAGCTAGGATGAGGGCTTACAATACAAATTAGAACTTAATAGGGTATGTATTTTGAAACAAAATGGTCGAGGGAAATAGCTTAATAGGCTCTTTTTTAACTTCTGAGTGGGAAAATGTGGAAGAAAAATTTTCATTATTCTCTGATCAAGAAAAAGAAGGAATATACCAAGTCCAACAACACCCCTCTCCCCCCATAGATGGACCTAGAAAAACAAGCTCTAACTCTAAATGAGGAGATGCTACAAACATCTTTTAAAATAATCGGGACATTACAAATGATATAATACCATTTTATGAGGCTTTTTCCCCTCTCATTTTCTGAGATTTTGCAAAAACAAATTATTTTGGAAATTTTAAGGGAGAATCCCTAAATAAAGTTGATCTGACACGTGAGGAGCATCATTCAAAGCACAATAAAGCCATATCTAAATGATAAAATCAGAATCACCCACTGAGATAATGGTACCTAAAGATACTGCACCACAAGTACGAATTTCTTGAGGTGATAATCTTATAGTAAGTACCATAAGCAAAACTGAAAAATTCTACTCTTGTATACCACAGGTTTGAACTAAGTTAAGGCAATATCCTCTAGAGCAGTGGTTCTCAACCTTCCTAATGCCGCGACCCTTTAATACAGTTCCTCATGTTGTGGTGACCCCCAACCATAAAATTATTTTCGTTGCTACTTCATAACTAATTTTGCTACTGTTATGAATCGTAATGTAAATATCTGATATGCAGGATGTATTTTCATTGTTACAAATTGAACATAATTAAAGCATAGTGATGAATCACAAAAACAATATGTAATTATATATGTGTTTTTCAGTGGTCTTAGGCGACCCCTGTGAAAGGGCCGTTCGACCCCCAAAGAGGTCACGACCCACAGGTTGAGAACCGCTGCTCTAGAGAATGTCATGTAGCCTCAATGTAAACATGCTCAAGGAACAATTAGGAAAAAAAGATAAGGTAAGCTATGAATTAGTTGCATTTAATGTATGGATTTTCTTTACTATTTCCCTGACACTACCTAATCACTTTGTTGGAAGACTACATGTTATACCTCTATTTTTCTTATAAAAACTCCTGACATTTTTGTCATTTCTTTTTCTAGTCTTGCTCTATCTGGGTAATAAAATGAATGGTAGAAAAATCTCCCCCCATTTTGAGTTTGGGATGAATCTTTTGCAGAATTGCTCTGTGTTGTAAATAAATTTAAGATCATTTTATTCTTTTTTTTTTTTTTAGTTTCAGAGAGGAAAGGGAGAGGAGAGAGAGATGGAACATCAAGATGAAAGAGAATCATTGATGGGTGCTTCTCCGGCGCGCGCGCGCACACACACACCCACCCATTGGGGATGGAGCCCGCAACCCAGGCATGTGCCCTGACCAGGAATCGAACCCTGGCCTTTTTGTTTATGGGACGCTCAACCACTAAGCCACACCATCCAGGCCATATTTTTTTTCAAATTAATGATAGGCCTCTTGGAACAATATATTGATATATTCTCCCCAAATCAAGTTATGTTGTATACATTTTGTATTAGATATTTGCACTCTTCGAAAAATAAGTAACTGAATACTCTTTCAGAAAATAGTATGTTTCAATCTTCATATTTGCATAATTATAGAGACCACTGTCAAAATCTTTGGTGTAAGTACTTCACTAAGCTTGTAGCAAACAAAGTTTTCTAAATGGCATGTATTTACCTTAAACCCTTTTTTAAAATTAGTGCGCTTTATTTTTAAAAACTTATGAAGATAATTTTAAAAATATCCTGCAGTAATGTTTTTTGTGAAAAAACTAATATAGTTTAGCATAAATTCTGAATAAAATTATAATAAATGACACATTTCCCTAAACCTTGAAAATACCAAATTATATTGGAAATTGGTAGAAAGAAGCATAAGCTAGAGTAGTTATATTACAAAATTCTATTACTGAAATTAAGTTGATAATTTTCAATGATAATTAATTTTGTAAATACAATGAAAATACACAAAAGCTATTTCTGAACCGAAAGTGATTGTCCTTTGCTTCTGTTCAGCACCACGAGTCATACTAATTGTAGAAATATGTGACGATATTTAATTTTAAAATACATTTAACTTTTAGTAGTTTTAGAAATTATCAGAATCTGTGCTTGCACAAAAGAAATAAATAGTAAGGTAGAGCTATGTTGCTGCTGGTTTCGCTTAATGAACACTTGGATTATTAAGGATAGTGACTGAGGTTAAAGGCTTGCTATTTTATTACTATCACCACATAAGTGATGGATATTGTATCAATACAAACACTGAATGGAAACTTCTGTTTAAATTACTTGTTAGGCTTTATTTGCAATGTAAACTGTTTAGAATCCATACCAGCCAAATTAAAATTTAAATATTATGTATATTTGATGAATAGCGAGGAAAAAATGATTTTGTTGCACTATTCTAAATATGGACTATTTGGTATGGCGTGACTTGACCTAACTTTTATAGAGCATGTGACTTCTATTCCTTTTAATGAAGTGAGATATATATGAGAGCTTTCTTTAATTGGTTGGGGGAGGGGCATTATCTAGTTCTAAATGTGCATGTGCTTTATATAAAGGCTTTGATTTCCGTGATTGACCACTTGAGGAATATTTAAATTACACTGACTAATGCCTGCACAGAACAAAAGTTAGGGGTACAAGAGCCTTAAAGTGAAAAACATGATCCTTTTGACTGCCTTACAACATGACTGACTAGCTCTCCAACGCAGGCATACTGGTTCCTCTCCAAGGGTCTGTTCAGTAAGTGGTGCCTTAATAGTGTTGGTGTTTCCGAAATACAGAACTCACAGGGTCTTTGAGAGCTTCCACTCTTACGTAATGAATGGGAATTTATCACGTTTTCAAACTCGGTTGTACGTTTGTAGTGGAAGCACCCGTGAACAGGATAACCTGGGGCACTGGTGTGTTACTACATACGTGACTGTTAACATCAGTACTATTTTGTGGTAGTTTGAGGTTTTTTATTGTTTTATATAACAAATTATCCAAGAAGCTGGACTTTATGTAATATCTCTAAGGACCAATTTGCATACCGTATTTTAAACACTGAATAAAAAAAGTTAGACAGTTCCAAAGAAAAAATGGTTAATTTTTTAAGGGGATTTTTCAAGACAAAAATATTTTGTTTCGAGCCTACAAGCAAATTTCATTCAAAATGAAATGAGTGAATGTAGCTGTAAAAACATTACGACTATTGTGATTTGTTTGATTACATTCACATTTTTACATTCACTTTGCCTTTCAAAGCAGGAATCTTTTATAAAACTGAAAGAAAACTTTAAATTGTCAAGCTGGTGCTTAAAAGTATATAATTTCAATTTATAACAAGTGTCATTTTAAAGGACAGGGACCCAGAAGGAGGTGGGGATGGGGGGAGGGGGGGTCCTAGGTCTGTTGATAAACTCACTGATGCTTTGTTGAGTCTTCCAAGTTTTCAGTGTAAACAAAATACCTAACAATGTAATTTTGCTGTTTTCTGATAGAAAATGGAAGAAATACTAATGTATTAAATTTATTTCATGATAAAACAGATTTCACCCATACTGTGAAATCCTGACTTTCTATCTTTGCAAAATACCATATTGAAAAAATCGTCTTAGACATGGATGCAGGTGGGCACTATGCAAGCTGTTGCTGGTCAGTTGTATCATTGTAGATGTTGCTAGAAGTACCAAATAAAGTCTATGCACTTCCAATAATCGTCTTTCTATTTCTTTTAAGAAGTAAGAATTTTAAGATTATCATATGCCTTATAAATTCTAAGGCTTTTAGTGACCTGTTGTATTTGAATAAGATGAAGATAAGGTTTTGATAACACTGGCAGTGCCTCTTTACATACTATTGTGTATAAGTATTTATTTAAAATATATATGGTTTCAATTATAGGACCAAAACTACTGGATTTAATCAAAATGCACTTTCTTAAGACTTTTAAACAGGATTTTTTTTGTGTGTGAAAATATCTACTCAAAATCGCCTTTGGGGAAAGTTGACAGCAAAAGTCAGCTATGCAAATAAATCTTTTGTTTCAGTGCCAATTTGCAGAAATTTCTACCTGAATTCCCATAAATTTTTTCTGAAAATTTCTAAGATTGGAGCTGGAAGTTAGGCAGAGGGTGAAATCAAGTTACATCAGAATATACCCACCACAACTTTGAACATTCGGTTGATTTTATAGTTCTCTATTTAAAGATGATAGTCAACAGTTGTATGGAGAAAGGAGATCAAAAACCATACGTTTCTCCATAGATAAAGAAAACGACTTAAAACCTTAACCCTTATGAAGAACACTTGACTTTAAAAATATTGCTTATATGGTGTCTTTTATAAGATATACTAGAGGCCTAGTATATATTATACTAGGGAATTTATCACGTTTTCAAACCCGGTCACAAATTCGTGTACCAGTGGGGTCCCTTGGCCTGGCCTGCGGGATCAGGCAGAAACCAACTCTCCTACATCCCCCGAGGGGTTCCAGGTTGTGAGAGGGCGCAGGCCAAGGGACCTCACCAGTGCACAATCGGGGCCAGGAAGGATGCAGGAGGTTGGCTGGGGAGGGATTGTGGGAGGGCTCCAGTGTCCAGCCTGTCTCGCTCAGTCCTGATTGGCCGGACCCCAGCAGCAAGCTAACCTACTGGTCAGAGCGTCTGCCCCCTGGTGGTCAGTGTATGTTATAGTGACTGGTCGACGCCCCCTGGTGATCAATGCACATCATAGTGAGCGGTTGAGCAGCCTTAGTATATCATTAGCATGTTATGGTTTCATTGGTTGAACAAATGACCAGACACAGCATATTAGACTTTTATTATATAGGATTAGTTAGAACACAATAAAATCCAGATACATTTAAACCAAAGACACCTTTTTTCAACAGATTTCCAGCTTCCCAATTAGATAATTGGAAGTTTAAGTGTAAATCGTGAGAAAATGAGAAAACAAATGGCCTATTTTTAAAAATATTAGTGGGCCTCAGTAAACAATTTATCTTTCAGATCTTAACATTAAACATAAGAGGACTGAGAAAAAAAGTTAACACTTTTCTTAAACTGGTCATTCTTTCTAACCTATGGTTCTGGGGGGAAAAAGGTTCCCACCCAGTTTCTTCTTATATTCTATATTTTCATCAAGCTGGAAGGTGTTACGGACTGAATGTGTCTCCCCAACATTTACTGTTGAAACCCTCACCCCCAATGCGATGGTGTTTGAGGAGAAGGGCTCTGGGAGGTAACTGGGCCTTAGCCCTGGTGATGGGTGGCTGAGAGCTTGCGTTCTCTCTGCCACGAAGACACAGCAAGGCCTTGGCAAGAACCCAATCAGCCGGCACCTCGATCTCGGACTGCCCAGCCGCCAGAAGAGCGGGGAATAAACGTCTGTTGTCTCCCCCATCCCGTGGAGGGTAACGTCCAGCAGCCGTGCAAAGGCATGGGGAGGGAGAAGAAACGGAAGTCGCCCATACAATGCGAGCTGGGACCTGGGCAAACCCGGGCCCACAGCCGGGCCCTGCGACAGGCCCATGCTCACCTGCAGTTTCCCTTACCTGCGGCCTCGCATCCGGAAACATTCAATGGAAAAACCGCAGGAAGAACCCATGCACCGGGCCACCTGCGCCCTGGTCAGGGCGTGCGATGAAAGCTCGCGTGGTGAAGTCTCGCGAGATAAAATTTCGCGCGAGGAAATCTCGCGTGATGAAATCTCGCGAGGTCCTTTCCTGCGCACGCTCCTGCCCGTGCGTCACGTCGTGGCCACGCCTGGGCAGGTGGACTATGGCGGAGGCTCAGTGCTGCGGACGGTCATCCTTGTTCCAGTCACTGGTGGCCCCACGGGCAGGAGCAGTGATGCTGGGAATCGGGGTGCGCTCGAGAGGAGCCGGGAAGTGCCGCTCGTGTGTGATGAGGTGAGTGAGGGCGGTGAGGCCCTGAGCCTGAGAGCGGGCCCAGCCCCCCGTGTTGTTAATACGGGGCTTGGTCATACTTTTTAAAAAATATTTTTATTGATTTCAGAGAGGAAGGGAGAGGGAGAAGGAGATAGAAACATCAAAGATGAGAATCATTGATCGGCTGCCTCCTGCACGCCCCCTACTGGGAATCAAGCTGGCAACCTGGGCATGTGCCCTTGACCGGAATCGAACCTGGGACCCTGCAGTCCGCAGGCTGAGGCTCTGTCCACTGAACCACACCGGCCAGGGCTGTCATACTTGTTCTGTAAGTGATCCTTCCTCCCTCCCTGTGCCGATTCCTGAGCGAGCACAGTGCACATGTGCAGGAGGAAGCCCGGTGCCTCAGGGGTGCACCAGCCGGAAACTCTGCACAGCCGTCCTTTTGGGTTTTTATGGGGGATTCACCCCACAGGGTGAGTAACTCATCACTGAAGTCCCTCTTCCAGCCCTTCCCCCCTCCCTGAAGGTTGGGATGGGGCGCAAAGGTCCAGCCCTCTCCCACTTGCTTGGTTCCCCTGGCCGCCCGCCCCATCCTTCCTGGCTTTGCAGAAGTCCCCTCCTCCACACCGTGCAAATGCACAGGGACGGGCCCACGGGAGAGCATCAGAGTTTAATACCCGCCGGGATTCACGTAGGCATGACCCCCTGCCCCACCCCCAACAGGCACCGTTCACTGTGTGTGTCGGACATTTGCACAAAGAATGGGGCCTTAGATTTCAGAAGCGAGGATGGGGGTTTCCACGAGTTGAGGCAGAGCTGCACACACGTGGCGGGAAAATCCCCAATAGGCGACTGGGAAACAGTGGGACCTGGGGCATCTGGCTGACAGGCACCCCCAAAGCCCTGTTCTGCGTCCACACTTAATGCAGATTCAGTGAAGGTGGCATCCTCAGGTCTCCCTGAATCTCTTGGGCAGGAAAGGGGGGAAGAGTCGAAAGTTCTGAGCCTTTTGTTTCTTAATAAGCAGCTGAAAATCAATACCCCAAAAGCAGCTCCACGGAGGCCAGACTTTGGTTCCTCTCCGTTGCATTCCAGTGTTAGAAGGTACCACGTGAGCATGAAACAATCCCAGCTCCTGCTTCATCGGGGTCCCCCAGCGGCAATTTCATAAACCCACGTAGGGAGCACAAGCCGCAGCCAGCTGTCTCCCGCCGGACTGTCCCAAGGTCCCCTAGTCCACGGTGACCCCAGGGCAGAAGCACCCCACTTCTCTGACAATCCCTTTTCCTCTCTCTGGGTAGCTTCTCTCGCCCCAGCATCTGGTCATCGGTCCCTAGGACTATGGGATCGTCTAGGAACACGCTTCTTAGGCTCCAATAGTAACTCCAGTACGTTTCTGAATTGTTTCACACGAGGCTGACCTTTTTTTCCTCATTTCTGTTGAAGAGCTGCACAAAATGAAAGGCTTCTATGGGCAGAAGGGGTGAGAAAGGAAACTTACAGCGGAGAGTTGGGGGAGCAGGGTCTCCAGCGGGGACCCCTCCCCATGTGCTGACGGGGAGATTCCAGGCTGACCGGCTACCTTTGCATTCCTGGGAGGGGCCGAAGCTGCAGTTAGTTTAGATCTTGGGTGCGAGGTCTTGGTTGGTGACGTGGGCCTGCTTTCTCTCTTTTCACACTGCCCACAGGTACAGTTCTGTTCTTTGGAACCACTAAGTCCTCAAATGCGTGATTTTGTTTTTCTGGAATAAGTTTCATTCCATCCTACCAATCCTCCTCTATCATAAAAGGCTAATATGCAAATTGTCCCCTTTGACCGGGAGTTCAACCAGGGGGCGGGGCCAGCCAACTGCCTGCGGCCCCTACTACCCCCAGCGGTCCCTTACATTTTAAAGAGAAATTACACATCAACCCTCATCACTAAACCCTGTAAAAGGTAAGGCGTTAACTCCTTCTGAACGGTATACATAATAAAGAACGCCAAATCTGTAAAATTCATATATAAATTCCCAATAAAACACATTCTTTCCTTTTCGTTGGACACAACTCCCTTCCTCCAGTTTTTATTTTTTTTTTTATTTTTTACAGAGAGGAAGGGAGAGGGATAGAGAGTTAGAAACATCAATGAGAGAGAAACATCGATCAGCCGCCTCCTGCACACTCCCTACTGGGTATGTGCCTGCAACCAAGGTACATGCCCTTGACTGGAATCAAACCTGGGACCTTTCAACGCTCTATCCACTGAGCCAAACCGGCTAGGGCCCTTCCTCCAGTTTTAAACACCACCTCCTTTGCTCAAAAAAAAATGGCAAGCAGGAAGGTGAGGTTTCCACAGCGATTTATTGTTCATCATTTTAACGTTTTCACGAAGACTGTTCACATAGCGAGACATCCTCAAACACTGTCGCCGAAATGCTTGTTGCTGTTTTTTCAATAACACCGATGAAGCAGTGGCAGCAGTTTCCCTCCCTGGTGGAGCCTGTGGGTGTCGGTGTCCCTCCAATAAAAGTCCCATTGACTAATATTCTTGGCACCTGTCGGATACACAGAAGCTCAGGTGTCACCCAGTGTCAGCAGCAGAACAGCACTGCGCGTAATGATGATGGGTGCTCACGTCTGGGTACCGTTACGGGCCGGGCACGACACTAAGGAAGCTCTTCCCTAAATCACCTATTTACATCTTTCCACGCCGAGTCAGTTATAGTTTTTAGCCTTGTTTTGGAGGGAAATGAGGCGGTTACTTGTCCAAGATCATAGTCAGTAAACGACAGAGCTGGGACTTAAATTTAGGACCATCAGACTCTCCAAGCCCTTCCTCCTAATCACCGCGCCACATAAAAGTCCCTGATTATTACTAATGTTTAACTCTCTTACAGTTGTTGACTAAAGGGGAAGAGGACACAAATTTCTTCCATGCACATAAGGAGGAAAGTGGCACCATGGGATATTTTTCTGATAAAGCATATTATGGGAAAACCCACAAAGTTCAAGAATCTGCCTGACCGGCATGGCTCAGTGGCTGAGCGTTGACCTATGAACCAGGAGGTCACGGTTCAATTCCCGGTCAGAGCACATGTGGGGGTTGTAGGTTCAATCCCCAGTGTGGGGCGTGCAGGAGGCAGCCCAGCAATGATTCTCTCTCATCGCTGATGTTTCCTTCTCCCTCTCTGTCCCCCTGTCTCTATGAAATAAATTTTAAAAAATATTTTTTAAAAAAAGAATCTAAGCACATGGAGCACTAAAGCACTCCTATTGAAACAGTCTGAACTGTCCAGTCAAACACACAAACACACACACACATGCACACACGCGCGCACACAGGCACGCACACACACAAATACACAATCTTGAAGGATAGAAATAAAACAAGAGCCCTAGCTTGTTTGGCTCAGTGGATAGAGCATCGGCCTGGGGAGTCAAGGGTCCCAGGTTCGATTCCGGTCAAGGGCATGTACCTTGGTTGCAGGCACATACCCAGTGGGGAGTGTGCAGGAGGCAGCTGATCGATGTTTCTCTCTCATCGATGTTTCTAACTCTCTATACCTCTCCCTTCCTCTCTGTAGAAATAAAACAAATTAACTCCCCTCTTTCCTAGTCTATAAATCTGGTTCCCGGATCTGCCATTTCTTGATCAATGTAAGATTTTCAGAGAATGTCCGGGTCCTGGTTCCTAACACGAGGGTGACCCCCCCCCCCCAGGTCAGCACCCACTTTGGGGGGAAGCACCGCAGAGCAGGACGCCGTCCTCCCGCCAGTCATCCTGGAAGCGCGTCCTGAGACCGGCTTCACATTCGAGGTCAGCCCCCCGCTGTGCACTCCCGTTCATGTCGTGGAAAAGCTGCTTGGCCAGGCTGCAGTGGGAACAGGATGTCATCAGAAATGGTTTCCTGGCGTCAAACAAGTCATCTTAATGCCAGACGTTAACCTTCGGAAAGAAATCGTGGCACCGCGGACGGGCATGGGTGTTGGGGTCTCGGGACTGATTCGGGGCTGGGACCAGGTCTCCATCCCTCCTTCCTCCTCGGCGCGGAGGGTAATGGTGTTCATTCCGAGGAACACGATGGGAACAAAGGTGCCACCGACCCGCCGATGGGAGGTGCTGGCCCGGAGTCCCGACAGCGGCAGCCGTTCATAGACGCGAACACCCGTGTGCGGGACACGGCGCCCAGTGAGGCCGCCCCCAGTCCCGGGAGAGGTCCTGCCGGCCTCCCCACCCGCCCCGAGGAGAGCGGCCCGGGGAAGGGAGTAACTTACTCCAGGTCCTCGGCTACTCGGCGGCAGTGTCGGGATTTGAACCCCTAACAGGGACAAAGCCGAGGTCCGCGTGGGGGAGATGAGTGCGCATAGGGACCCGGGAGAGGCGGGGAGGAGCTGGGGGGAGGAGGGAGGAGGAGGGAACGCCGAGCAGCCTGGGGTCCTCCTGGGCGGCAGGAGGAGAGCTCAGGTGCGGGGCAATGCAGGGAAGGGGGCGCGAGGAGAGGAGAGGAGGGCGCTTCCTCCTCCAGCCCCGCTCACCCCAGAGGCTGCCGCTGAGCCCCTCCCCGCGCCGCCCCAGACCCAGCCGCTCCGCAGGCGGGACCGAAGAGGGACGGCGGCAGGTCGCGAGGCTGATGCTGGCCAGGAGGAGGGCGGGTGCGGAGCTGCCGCACTGGCATAGGGGCGAGGCCAGCAGGTGGCGGCCACCGCCCAGCAGCGCCAGGTGCTCGGGCTGTAGAGGGGCCCAGCCCAGCCGGGTGGCCCGGTGGTTGAGCTCCGACCTCTGAGCCAGGAGGCCACGGTTCCATTCCCCATCAGGGCACAGGCCCGGGCTGCGGGCTCATCCCCAGTGCGGGGCGTGCGGGCGGCAGCCAATGCCTGATTCTCTCTCATCACTCATGTTTCTCTCCTTCTCTCGAATGAATAAAAATATATATTTTTTAAAAAAGCGCGGGGGCCCAGCGTCCCGGAGGCGCCGACTCCCCGGTGCCCGAGGCCAAGCTGGCCTCCCCGAAACTGCCCGCCATTGCGGTTCCCCGAGAACATGGCCGGGCGCCGGCGTTCCGCCTGCGGAGGGCTCAGCGGGGCGAGGCGCTCAGCGTCCCGCGTCCCGGCGGCTCCGCAGACTGGCCGGGCCCTGTGCCCGCGGCACCACTTCTTCCCGCGGCGCCTGAGGCCACGCCCCTCCACTCGCGCGTTCCCGCCTCCCTCGTGGCCACGCCCCTTCCTGCCTTCTGCTCTTGTGTCGTGTTTTTATCCTGAAAACCCCGCATGAGTATGGCCCAGATTCCTCCCAGTAGCTGGTAACTTAGCGTCCTGCCCCCTCTGTGCCCCGTCGCATGCGTCACCTAAGAGTCCTCATTGCGCCCCAGAGAAGGTCTTCCCTGACCTCTTATCCCGAGAACTGGCGTTGGCCGCGGTGAACTCAGAGGCAGAAAATGCAGAGCTACCTATTCTAAGAGGATTTCTACCAGAGGATCGGTGCCTGGGCCATGTCACCGACCGGCTGAGACCTAACTACAGGCTTGCGTCATGGCCTTTCCCACCGACTTCCACGCACGGCTCTCAAGACCCGTAGAAGCTGAGGCCATGGTAGCTCAGGGAAACCATTGCACCTGTTTTTTTCCTGGAGCCTTTCCCTAGCCGGGGTAATACTGCTTCCTTCCCCGACACAGCTAGGAGTGTGTTTGCTTCTGAATTTTCATATGTCACCTTCCATAATCATTTATATGTAAAAAGTAATTAATAAAATATTTGATTGAAAGAAGTAGAAGGAAAGCTGTGCCAAATAGTGCTAATAAGGTACATAAATGAAAAAAATTATATTTGTAAAGGATATTAGAATCATGGGTACAGCTTTATGAAATAATACATTAATATTTACATAGAGTGCATAATTCTATTGAGACTGCATACAATCATGAAAATATGTGGCCTGGGCCTAGAAAGGCGGTATTCAAAAAATCAATAGTTTTAGAAGAATGGTAGAAATATTGGTGATCACTTTTTTTTAAATATATTTTATTGATTTTTTTTTTTTACAGAGAGGAAGGGAGAGGGATAGAGAGTTAGAAACATCGATGAGAGAGAAACATTGATCGGCTGCCACCTGCACACCCCCTACTGGGGATGTGCCTGCAACCAAGGTACATGCCCTTGACTAGAATCGAACCCGGGACCCTTCAGTCCGCAGGCCGACGCTCTATCCGCTGAGCCAAACCAGTCAGGGCTGGTGATCACTTTTAATATTCAGTAAGTTTGTGGTGATATCATTTTTGCAACTGAGAAAATAGTACAAATACATCCTGTTGCTCTGTAAATAGCCTAATAGCTATGAATTGTGCCAGCATCCATTTTTAAGATATTCCCAAAAGCCAGTGCTATAATATGCATGCATGCCTACTGTCTCCACATCCCTTCCTCCCACTCTCTCTTTAATCCATTGTACCACTCACATAGCTTTTCTCAAGGTGAACATAATGCACATCCCAGTGCTTAACTTTCAGTCCTCACTTTATGTACGTTATCAGCATTACTTGGCACAGTTTACCACTCCTTTGTATTTGAATGCTTATCTGTAAACATTGCAGTATGTAGTTCTAATATAGAATATCACATAAGTAGCAACCTAACAAATTATAATACATCTAAAATAATAATCAGTAATTTCTCAATATCATCAAACATCTAGTTGGTGTTCCAATTTGCAATTGTCTCATAAATGTTGCAATTATTTTTCAGTTTGGTTGAGTCAGGATCTAAATAAAGTTTACACACAATGATTGGTTGGAGCATCTTTGGAGTTCTTTTAAGTCTGTTTGTCCCCACTCCTTCTTTTTTCTTCTTATGCAAGTTCTTTCTTTGTTTTTTAAATATGTTTTTATTGATTTCAGAGAGAATGAGAGAGGGAGAGAGAGATGGAAACACCAATGATGAGAGAAAATCATTGATGGGCTGCCTCCTGCATGCCCCCTACTGGGGATTGAGCCCACAACCCAGGCATGTGCCCTGACCGGGAATCGAACCATGACCTCCTGGTTCATAGGTCAACACTCAACCACTGAGTCACGCTGGCGGGGCACCTTGCAGATGTTTTTAAAGACGGACTCCATCTATGTCACCTAGACCCGTGGTCGGCAAACTGCGGCTCGAGAGCCACATGCCGCTCTTTGGCCCCTTGAGTGTGGCTCTTCCACAAAATACCACGTGCGGGCGCACGTACAGTGCGATTGAAACTTTGTGGTCCGTGCGCAGAAGTCGGTTTTCGGCCTGGGCGAGTCTATTTTGAAGAAGTACTGTTGATATTTGGCTCTGTTGACTAATGAGTTTGCTGACCACTGACCTAGACCATAGGATTTTAACTAATGGTTGATAAAATATTAGACAACTTCTCCTTCCCATAAGGGTTGAAGATGGAAAAACTTGATTCACAGCAACTGGAGTAAACAGTATTGGAGATTGCGAGAGGGAAAGAAGATACGCAGAAAAATCCTCTTCTCGTCATAATACCCCTGAGACTCTTCCATGCAGAAGTCACCTTCCCATGCCTGGCTC